GTTAATCACTGCTTGACTAACCTGGCTGAATAAAGGCTGATAAAATAGATGAAATACAATTTGACAAATGAACAGGTACAACAGAAGAGTCAAAGGTCTAGTAGTCTTAAATTGGACTTTAGATGTTTTATTTGCCATATATTGTACAAAATGGACCAACAGAATATTCAAATACAGTATGTGAAAAAAAGAAGAAGCACCCACCACCAATACAAATCATTTTCCCCATGGTATTGTGTGTAGCAGATTTCTCTGGACCTCAACTTACATCGTTAGTGTCGGTCATTCTAAAGCAATGAATATTTGTTGAATTCCTGATGGCGAAGCTGCTCATTGGCATGTTTTCCTTTTTTTAACCTTTTAAAGTCAAAGAAAATGTTTCTTCCGAAAACTTATTTTCGTTCTTTACTGGTAATCCATCCTTCTGCTGAGTTTTGCTTTCATGTTACTTCCCAGTGTGGGACTTCAATCAGCGGGAACTCTGTGGGAGACGATGCATTTTACCTCAAAGCTTCTTTTTTTTTTTCGACCAGTTTCCTCTCAACACTAAAAAACAAAAGTTAAAATCAATAACGCAATTCATTCAAAAACAATGGATGCTTTACACTTCTTTTTGCCAACATGCCACTGGTCACATGGCTGGCCATGCCTTAGAGATTTGACTTCCCCTCCTGTGTGTACAAGTTGTGTCTCATCCTGTTTGGATTGAGCGCAGGAGGCCTGGCTGGATGATTACTCTGAGCTCGTCACAGGGAGACCAGCTGCAGTGATTCCCTGCTCATGCTCACCACTGTTGGCTGCTGTTTCACTTTGTGTGCTACGCCAACGCATTTAATGAAGTGTGCCTAAGTAATTCAAAAATTCCCTCTGATGTCACTTTAAAGAAGATTTATAATTTCACATTTTCCTTATTCCTATTTCTTTAGAAAGATGCATACATACATACACATATATTTATTCATGAATATGTTTATGTATTTTTCCTCTGGCTGTTTTCCTGGTTGTTTGTACTAATATGGTAAGAGTGCTAGAATTTTAATATTTATTCTGAAATAAATTTGCCACGCATTTACATTCCCATGGAATGTCAAAAAGGAGGAGAAGCAGGTGTATAGTGTACACACACACACACACACACACACACACACACACAGACACACACAGACACACACAGACACTGATCCATTCATCTTTTACAGAAGCTGAGAAGATTCAAAAGTTAGAAAGTTGGCCCATATCTCAAAAGACACTGCTGTTTTTAAAGTAAAATGTGCTGCGGCTGCTGCTTCAGATGACGTTTTACTTTAACTTTGATTTTCCTTGTGACTTAATTTAATGACTGTGGAGTCCAATTTACGTTATAAGTCTGCATATAACATATTTCGACATGGCGTGTAGAGCTCTGTCCTCCAGTGTCAGTCACAGCGGCTCGGTTTAAAAAGGGGAGGATTTTTCAGCAGATACAGGTTAGTGATGAAGTTGCTACAATATTTTATTGTCAAAGATTTGTTTACGTTTCACATAAAATACATTCGTTGTAATCAAATAATTAAATTAAATTAAATAATCAAATGCGCCACAATTCACAGGTTTGAGAATCCCTACATGATCTCACAACAAGTAAGAATATTCAAATATTTTTATGTTACGCTATAACGGGGCGCACTAACTCTCGCAAACATGCCTATTTTTTTCATTAAGATCCATTAATTATTCTCAGAGGAATCAATGAAAATGTCAAACAACTTAGTGGTAATTGCAGCACAGCAAAATTAGGACATCATTTCATGCTAAGTGTGTTTTTATTCCAAAAGCAGGACATGTCTTTTGCTACACAGGGTGAATGCAATAGGTCACAGATAAATTCAGTTCAGCTTTTTAGACTTGTCTGATATAAATGTCAAGTTCATTTGCAATTCAGCAAATATCAATTAGCTTCAGAAATTATCCATCACAGTTTGACATATGTTACAACTGCACACCACCAGCTGGCATCTGTTTGCTCCAGAATGCAGCGTTACGGTTGATTGAATGATGTAGCGGTAGTGTCCCCTCTTAGGCCTTTCCTTATGTCTCTTTGCTCACCTCGGCACAATTTCCTCTTCAGCTTAAATGCTTGGTAAATGGTTTGTATTTATATAGAGCTTTTCTAGTCTTAATGACCACTCAAAGCGCTTTACACTACAGTTTGCCATTCACACACACATTCATACAGTGCATCCATTAGCAGCACTTTTCTTGTTCGTTGGGGCAATTCGGGGTTCAGCATCTTGCCCAAGTACACTTCGGGATGCAGATAGGGAAGACTGGGGAACTGCCGACCTTCTGGTTGGAGGACGACCGCTCTACCCCTCAGCCGCCCCCGCATACTCAGGCCCAAACTGATAAAGAACAAGTCATTCCACGGATTGACCTTTTCTTTTCGAAATGTCTTTACTCTGCAAAGTTCATCCTTGGCTAACTTCTATTTACTTACTAACTATGCAAACTCACTCAGTCTGATCATCCAGAAAGAGCAGGCAGTTGGACATAGAGGAATGGTGCATTTACTGTATGTGCTATCGTGTTTATTTTTGAAAAAAATACTACAAACTTGCATAATTCAGTAAAAAAAAGTTTTTGCAGCACACATGCCTGATAAGTAGATTCCTAATATCACAGCCATGCGGCAGCCTAGAGGAGAAGCGTTCACAATGCACCACGAGGAAGGATTCACATGATTGAGAATAATACAATTAAAATTAAGTAATTTTAACAAAAAGAAAGATGACGATATAGATGCCATCTTGCAATGGGCTCGCAGCACCCATCAACCTGTTGACGTTCCAACCCATGAGTAGAAAGTGGTTTTTACAATATCAACATCACTGCTGAGTACTCACCACACCCATCTTCCCATTTGAACCACACACACTGATCATCACAGACATAACATCAACTGCCCAAGTACTTTAACCTACCGTTTTCCTGGACCACATTATCCCATGATCACACACACATTTATATATAAACACATTCAAAGACTCACAACAATACACTCACAGCTGGAACCAGTGCAGATGTGTTTCACTATGAGATGTTAGCTATGTTGAGTAAGTTTCAACTTTGTCTGAGTTGATTTTGACAGTTTACTGTCATCAGCTCAAACCAATGAGCACCTGAACCGTTGGAAAACTCAATTTAAAAATTTCGCCTTCACGTTAATTGTTGAATGTTGTGGATGGTGTAAGTTTCAAGCACACAGGATTTACTGGACCTATAACTGCAACATCACTGGGATAGTTCCTTAAATTCAAACCTATTAATACCACTGTGCATATGATGTCAGTGCGAATGGTTGGTGGTTAAAATAAAATCCAATGTGCGAAGCATTTAAAGAAGGCGTATCTATCACAGACACATATAATGGGCTTCCAGATGCTTTATTCAGTATATTGGATCAACCGGAGCACAGACAAACCCCTGACCCAGACCATATTGTAAAATGTGTCCCCTGCCAGCTGGAGAATGTGTGAGCACAGACTCGTGGTGGACGTCCTCGCAGGCACCGGGGTAAATCCAGGCTTACACTCAGAAAACAAAGCACCATACCCACTTATGTAACACAGGCTCTGAACATGACGACATGTGCAGCCTGTCATGTAATTTAACCTCCTCCCTTTTGACAAGCAATGTTTAACATGCTCTATTTAAAAATTTTCTCTCTCTTGTTTTTTTTTTCTCTTCTTGCCTGTTTCTCTTCCAGTCCGAACTGCCCTAATCGCTATTATTGGATTCATGCCAACAAAAGGAGAAGGAGCAATAGGATCTCTTGATTATACCCCAGAGGAGAGGAGGGCCCTTGCCAAAAAGTAAGATTTGGTGCATGAAAATCTTTCCGATGTTCACTCTCTGCAGAGCATGTGTTGTGTGAATAAAGTGCTGTGGATAGAGAATGGTAAGGAGGGGAATGTATGGTGGTGGGACAATGTGTGTCGCAAAAATATTATGATCTTACACTGGATTAGAAAACAGGTTGAGGATATGATCGGTACTTGATGCAGGGTAGATGGCATTAACACTCTGTAAAAACATGCATAACATAATCAGCACCTGAGCCTCGGTGGACGTGACCTCCACCAATAAATCCCCAGTCACAAAAGGGAAGGAGCCTGGTCAAGCCAGCTCCGACATTGCAAGATGACAAAATCATTATCGCCAAAATACCCGGTCTCTGGAGGGAGCATGAGTGGGCACATAGCTCATCATTTCACACTGCATTTCCCTTCGAGAACATGGTGCAATGCCTGAATATGAGAGGCTCCTGCTAAAGTCACTCTTCTATTAGCAGAAGAGACGGGGGTCTTGATCAGCAGGCTGTTTCATTAGCACATGGAGATGAGATAGACACTAAGACGCACTTTGCTATAAATACGTGGCTGCTTATCTCCCTGATGGAAAACTTTTATTTTCCCTTCAGTCTAGGGCTGAGACAGCACTTCTCTTTGGTTTTTTCATCTCCTGTTTCTATGCCCCTGGTGATTGGGAGAGCTGTCAGTCAGAGGAGGCGCAGCAGAACAGGGTTCCTTGTCCAATATTTTTTAGAGTTTGCCAAGTTTATCATATAGAAGTTGGCCAGGTGGAGATGTGGCTGGAAAAAACAAACATGGGGCCCAGTGGAGGTCTGAGAAATCACAGAAATAGATATGAAAGATGTCACTCATTCCTGACACCCAAGCAGCCATTTCATCAATAGGAGACCTGCTGTCATTTCACATATCATGATATTAGTTGACGACCAAAATGGTGGTCATGTAGCATGGTTTTAAATGTGGGTAAGCCTTATTAATTCAATACACTTCAAATTCTGCTAATATCTCCTCAGAGTGCACTATGGTACATTCTGTGTTTTCTGGAAAGAAATCTGGTTTAAATACACAGCCCTGGTTCCGTGTTTGGTAAAGAAAGAATGCTCAATTTCCCAAAGTAGCCCTAAGAATGCTAATTGCTGAACCACAGAATTCAGCCAACCTAAACAAGATTACTAAATAATGAAAAAGTAAAGACCTGCAGGAACATTGATGAGCTGTCTCCGCGGTGGGAGACTACCAGGAGATGCCTCGCACCAGCACATTTTTTAAAACATCATGTTGTGTTCAGAACAAGAAGGATTTGAATAAAGCCAAGACAATAAAGCTTTAAAAAAGATGACCTACAAGTAGAAAATGCAGAAACTTTGTTTTCAGGCAGACATTTATCAGCCCCCATAACCTCTGGAGTATATAAATCACACTTAGATAGTAACTGTCACATTTACAACTGCTTATTATTTTTCTGTTTTGAAACTGTTTATTTATTTTTTTTACTTTGCCATAACTTAAGTTCACAAAACTCTCAGGAAAACACTTGAATGAAAAGTTCCGATGACGACCTGTCAACAGCACAAGTTTAAACTTGCTTTCCTGGCTGTGCAGTTTGTTTGTGCATTGAGTCTCCCAGGAATTATATTCAACTTGAGACATGCAAGTACACTTTGCACTATTTTAATCCCACTTTTAGACAAGCAGCAGAGGTAACACCACCGAGTGCAGCTGCAGGCTGGTAATTCACAAAGGAGATGCAGCTACATAAACGCAGTGAATGCTGAGAGCGTGGGTAATTATGTCTGTAGCTTTCATAGCAAGGTAATATTACCTGCTTCAGGGCTGAGATCTCCAAAGTATACATTATGTGGGTATTTTTAATACTTAATCACAGTGTTTCAATGTAGTTTGTGAACATTGTAACGCTTATTGCAATTAGTGAGTGAGCATGCTAGGAAATTAGTAAAGCTCTCAGTGGGGTAGTGTTTGCCACTCTTAGTTATAATGACCTTGGTTTGGTTTGCTTTGAGGTTTTGGTTGATTATCGGCAGACTTTTCTCATCTCAGCTTCAAGACTTTCAGCCAGTGAGGTAATATTGTCTTTTTAAAAGCCTAAAAAAGGAATAAAATTGTGGTCTATATTGAAACCTCCGTCAAAAGGAAGGATAATAATTGCACAGGCTGCTGCATGTAAACGAGGCCAACTTGGCATATGTCATGAAGATCTTCAGAAGCTGATATGTGGGAACAGAGGATTTTTGTCACTGTATGGCGGGCTGGTTTTAATGAGGCCCTGACTGCATACCTTCATTGTATTAGAAGTTGCCTGCTCTCAGTCACCATGTTAGGTCTGTGGTCTGATCTCAGAGCCCTCTGGTATTAGCTGCAGGGTTTTAGTGGTAAGAATATAAGATGTTGTAGCTGCATCCTGCACCTTAGACAGACACCGCACATGTTTGAGTGGTTAAAAAAAGATCTTAACTATAGAACATACGTCAGAAGGAGGGGGGCTCCTTCTGACTAATTAGTGCAAATGATTCAAATGTGCTAAGACAGTTGACATTACTTGCACCTGTTAAAATTGATGATCAATGTTATCTGATAGTGAAGTATTTGATTAAATGTTTTCAGAGGACTCAGCACACTTTTTATCATTTGCCTCCAGGGAAAGTTAGACGTCTTCCTCTTATGATGGAAGCAAAGATCTGGTGGGGCTATGTTTAGGTAGGTGATGTGTGAAGGACAGTCTGGGGATCAGTTTACTTTAATCTTAGGTTTCAGGTAAGCTGAGCTCAAACTGATATAATTCCCTTATGTGTTCTTTATTGTCTTTTGTCGTAGCCTGTCCCATAGCAACAGCACAGTGTATGAGGACAGATCGGGCATCGGCTAGGGATTCTCTACTGTACAGGACCTTTGTCACAGTCTTTGAAAGGACACATTTTTCAACATTGACAGAATTGATCAGCGTTTCATCTTCTTCCCATCAAACACTGAGCTGCAATACAGTTATTACATGAACAGTCTTGAAAACGTAACCGCATAATACAAAACTAAATGACTGCATGTCATACATCCAATTACCAAGCGCTTTATAAGGAACACCTGTACACCTGCTCATTCATGCAATTCACCAGGGAGCCAATCCCTCAGTAAAATGCATTCAGTGGTGGAGATTCAGGTCAGGAGCTTCACTTAATGGTCACATTAAACATCAGAATTGGGGAAGAAATGTGATCTCTGGGACCTGATTGTTGATGGCAGACTGGCTGGGTTGAGTATTATGCAAAGTTCAATAGATTTGCCTCGCAACAGTAAGCAATTGTCTTATTTGACTTCTCGCTCTCACAGATTGAAAGTGAACAGAAGACCAGGTCCCAATGTTGCTGACTGTGTTCATCCCTTTATGAACACGGTTTACCATCTGCTAATGGCTACTTCCATCGGGCTAATTGAACTGATTAACACATCATGTTACAAAGAAAAGGTCCTCTCACACTGGTTTTATGAACATGACAGTGAGGTTAGTGAGGTTAGTGAAGTTAAGTGACCTCCCATCACCTGATAAGAATCCAGTTTAAACGCTGTTGTGATGTGGCAGAACAGAAAATGGGCATGAAGCTGCAGAAATGATGTGATGCAGTCATGTCACCATGGAGCAGCATCTCATCAACATCATGTGGAATTCATGCCATGAAGAACTGCAGCTGTTTTGAGGAACTACTTAGTACAAGGCTCCTAATAAAGTGCTCCATAAGTGTTGGTCTGCTTTTTCTAATGATTATTTAATATATGGTAATATTGAAATTTCTGTAAATCTTTGCTGCTGATTAAATAATTTGAAGGTCCAGTGTGTAAGATTTAGGTGAAAGGGAACTATTGGCAGGAATTCAATGTAGAATAATCCTCATGATGCTTTCACTAGTTCGGTTAATCTAAAAATTGTAGTTTTCTTTACCCTAGAAAAGGTCCTTTATATTTAATAACTTTATATTTACATCGAGGGGACCCTCTCTACGGAGGCCACCATGTTCTTTTACATTAGTCCAGACTGAACAAACTAAACACCTTTTCAGTTATTATGACAACTGAAGGCTGCCACAGGTACATATTTTAAATATATATATATTTTAAAAGTGATTGTGCAAAAAGAGCATGTGAAGGATTACTCTGAGATATTTTGTGTGCATCTCCACACAAAGGATATTTTCAACCCATTGGAAAGACTGCTTTCACAAATTGTGTATTCTCTCATCCCTTGTTGAATTCAGTATGTTTATGTACAGCAGTTCAGTACTTAATCATTTCCTCTACCCTTGCTTCATGGTGTCAACATTTCCATAAAGAAATGCATCTTGCAGCATTATTAATAATAGTCTGGCAATAGACTATAATGACTTGCCTGTGGTGGGCCGGCAGGGCAGTTGTCACAGTCTAAATTAATTAGTGTTCATGGCATTGCATAAAAAATGCCACTGCAATAGTTGAGATGATGGAATTCAATCCAGGAAGCCCAGTTTTGATAATAGCCTCAGCAGAGACAATCTTATAATCAGCTAAAATAGAATCTTAGAACTCATTCACAAATGTAATTGTATCTTTTAACTCAAAAGTAGCAAGGTTTATCAGTAGACTTTCCCTACCAGGAGTGTCTAATGTGAAATGGATGAGCAGATACGGAAAGTCTAACGTTAACAAATGTTACAAATTGTTCTGAAAGGCCACTCTCAAAGGCCAAGCAAAGGCCAGCTATCACAGCCTCCTCCTGGCTGCATCCTGCTTCCTCCACAATCTCTCCCCCAGAACACTTTTTTTTCGCATCATTGTCATCTTGACGTGAGCAATCATGAGAGTGAACACATTTAAAGCCACACAAAACATGACAGAAGCAGAAGAGATTCCACTGAACACCTGTGTGTGTGCACACATCTGTTGAATTGCCTGTTCTGGAAAATTACAAAGATTGCCCAATAGTTTTTTCGTGGAACATGACTTTCAGATTCTGTTAGACAGTTCTGCCCTTTGAAAACCCTCCCATTTCTTGACACATGTTGCATGCACTCCTCTCAGTATGCCTCTCAGATTGTATCCAGTTTGGGCATCTCTCTGAGCTGAGACATGTTCTTGATGATCAGTGTCTAAAAGGGTCATGTTCAAGCTAAACATAGTCCAGTGGTGGGATGACTTGGGGCATAAGAAAACATTTGCTGTGCCTTGCAAAATGTCTGATGCCCATTAAGCCCAGCTTCTTCCCCATCTACATCTTAACTTCACTTGGATAGAAACCAATTTCCTTTTTGCTACAGAGGAAGATGGATCATTTAATACCATAATGTATCCAAATCTATCTTTGCTACCTTTTGCCTGAGGAGTTGTGTAGTCGAGATGTGGTGTTCCTCAGAGCATGATTTATCATAACATCTGTTTATTAGCTGCTGCTAGGGGAGATTAGCTTTTAGAAGAAAAATCCACAGAAATATCCTATGTGAGACATTTTTTCTACATTACTGTGCTGGATCCCACTTTCAGGACTGATGAAAGGGCCTAAAGGTGCAGGCAACAGGCCAATACCGTAAACTTGTACATGCAAACGCACAAAGCTTTTGAAACAGTTTTTATCTGCCTGTACAGGGTTAATATTCATCTTGTATGGCAAGCTCAATAAATATTTTAAACTTCATTATCAAGGTGTCGCATTTGGCCAAGCACCAGATGATGGTACATTGTTTGGCAGATGAATCAATGACTGACCCAATACTAACTTGGTGTGATGTAACTTTGAAATGCGAAATTAGAGCTCTTTGTCTAGTTTCCCTTTCTTTGTTCATGTCGACTATGGCAAGCTCTCTCACTGTAGCTCTGTATCAAACACACTGATGACTGTCTTCCCAGTACACTGCTCCATAGTAATTTTGTGTGTGTGTGTGTGATATTTGTGCTGCCATAGTGAGGACATTTAAGGCGATCATCACTTCACTCACCTAAGTAATGAGATTCGCGTCTGCTTTCAGATCTGTGGACTGCTGCCCACATCTTATTTATCTTAAATGGAGGATGTTTTGTTCATTTTGACGTCTGCCAGCATTTGGAAAACACGTCACCTAATTAGAGTTTTGTATTTGAACGGGCTATGCCATCATCCTTCATGGTTACCTTACTAGCTACCCAGCCACATTGCCCTCACTGTCAGTGTACCTAGAGACTTTCTTAAGCTCTGAAATTACTTGTCTTTCTTGGCAGGTACTACCACAGCTTCTATGTTGCTAAATAAAAAGAAGAATAACACCCTGGTTGAAAAATACCAGAATAGACCTTGAAGCATGCCGCTATGACATTGTGTGTTTGAGATAAGGTGTTGCAGTTGTGCAGTGGAGTGAAATATGTCTGTTATTACACCAAACATGCACTTTGTGATGAGTTACCCTCCATATCATTGCAGTGAGGTGGTGTGACACACTTCAGTTAAAAAAAAAGTGAAAGAATTTACTCTCTTGAGAGGTGCCTTTGGAGCAAACTGACCTCGCCGTGTTCTACCTGTTCTCCGGCAGGTCCCAGGACTTCTGCTGTGAGGCGTGTGGCTGCTCCATGCGCTCTGCTCTCCTGGCTCTGACTCCCAACAGCCACGTCAGCGCAGAGGACCACAAGGCCAAAGAGCTGGCTCAGCAAATCCACTTCAAGGTACAGATCCTGGCAATTAACATGAGGTTCGGTCGGACATTTAACTCCAAGAGCAACACAGCCGTGTCATCCTCAACCCCCCCTTGCGGCTCTCACATCCTCTTCTGGAAACAGCAGTTAACAAAATAATCCACTACAGGGTCCACTTAGAGTGTGGGGATTTTTGTTTTAGCCCAGTTGTCATGGACGGGCAGATTTTCAGCTTTTCTTTTCTGAGCACTTCAAGGACTTTTCATGCAGGTTGGCTGAAATTCTTTCTTTGCCTTTGAAACAGCTGTTGACAAAATAATCTAAACAGTCTATATTCAGTAGCAGGGCTGAAATAGTAACATTAATACATTTAATGATTAATAGTAAATACTTGTCACGATACAGAAATACTGAATTGTTTAACATGTTTTTCAGTATCTGTTTAGCTCCTTACAACAAAATTTGACAGTTTCACAATAAAAGCATAATCCCTCTTTTTTCTTATTAGCTTTTACATCTATATAAACATAATATAAATATGCAGCTATTGTTTGTTATTGTGACATGACTGTTGTCTTCTTAAGTCTTTTTTAAACGGTCCTTCATTTAGCTGCTTACTTGAATTGCTTCTCTGTGGTCACATCCTGATTGGTTACCAAACTCTTATTTCAGATTCAGGTATTTGAACAGCCCCATCTGATGTTCTCGATAAAAGGAAATGGCGTTCACTGATGTATCATAATCAAATGATATAAATGAAATAATCAATGTTAATGTGATGATGGTGTAGATTTGAGGTCATGTTATCCAGCGTCATAGTGATGACTACCGTTCACTGTGTGTCAATACAGGCAGAGTCAAGTTCATCCAGACCAGCAAGTGAGAGTGGAGGTGCTGAAAGCAATCCATCCTCACTCAGCCAGGGAGACACCTCCACTTCTGCCGCCCAGGAAGCTGCTGACTGTCCCCAGGCTGAACAGGTGGGTGTTATTCTGGTGCTTTCAGGTTCCACAGCACGTAACCTGCCTACAGTCAACAGAGCACCTGCAGGACAGACCGTTCTAGAACATTTTTATGTGGTCAGTCACACAAATTATGTAACGTGACTGGCAACCATTTCACAAACCACACTTTTGTCACATGGTTTCAGTCACTGCTAACCTGCCAATCATTTTAGTTCATGTATGACTGAGATAGGTAATTCCCTATAGTAGTTCATCATTTTTGTCAAGGTTGTATTTTTAGTTTAGTTTGATTTTGTTGGTTTACTCTTCTAATCATGTCTCGTGTCTCTGCGACTGTAAGATATTTCACTACACTCTGCAACTCACTGCAGTAGTCGTTGCCTAGGTAACAACCAATAGGGATCAAAGTAAACAACGAATCTCAACAAAGTAATTCTGGTTTGTTTTAAACCAGGGTCATATTTTTCTATCATCAACATCATATCATATCATTTCAATCAGTTATGATGGTGCTATATCTACCAAACTAAAGTTATACAATCTTCGCCTCATACAGCAAATTGAATACCTGTTATAATAAGGATAATAATGCACTTTATTTATATAGCACCCTTCAAAACATACTTACAAGGTAAGGTACTTACAAGTCAAAAATGCTGGCTTATGAAAATTAAAGAGAAACTATAGGAAACAATGGAAAACTATTAAAAGCAGTTTGAAGATCACACTGCGTTAGAGCGCACATACAAAAATAGAAAATGTTACAGATGAGAAAAAAGTGAAAACATGAAATTATTAAAATATTCTGCAAGACCAGGAGATATCATATCTTTGTTAATACGTATATAAAATCCAATGACAACAATAAAACTGTTAATTACAGTTCTTTCATTTACAGCAATGTCTTAATACAATTAGATATTATATATATGGTACATATAGTTTAAAAAAACTGACAAGCTACCAGTTTGCCCATAAAATTTCATTTGGGATTTCATTGTGTTAATAGTTTCCTCATTGTCGTTACTGGAGGACAGAAAGAGAGTTCACATACTGAAAATATGTGCTGTCTGTTTGTCTTCGCTAATTCCTTCACCTGATGTTTAGCATAATTAAAAAACAGACTTCCGTATTCAGCTTTCTGTGTTTTGCTTTTCATTCCACCAGAAGTAATGGTCGGACCAGTGGGTGTTCTGAAGCTCAACAGTGAGCAATCACACGGATTACGTGGTGCTGTCTGTTTGCTGTCAATTACCAGACTTTCACATTGTTCCTTTTAATTGGTGGCACACTCCATCACCTGCTGATGCCCCACAGTTCCAAAATCATTTAAAATTTCTATGGGAGGAAATCGCTCTGCAGGCCAGCTGTGTTTTTATTTATTATGGGTTGGTGTGTAAAATCGAGCACCAACATCAGTGCTCTCTCTTAACGTCACCGCGAATGTGTCGTGGTCGCTCGAAGCCCGTGCTTCCCCTGCTTCTTTTCACCACTTCAGATGGTGTGGGAGAGTTGGGTCGCCCAAAGAGGATTGATTTTGGCGCGAGCTGCAGACAACCACAGTGACAGTCTGACAGTGAACTTAGATTAGTGTTTTTTTCCACTTTGGATGAACTAGACTTGCCATCTGTCGCTGAATTTGGAGGGAAAAGACTTGTACGGAGTAAGATAGGCCAGCCAGCCCATGGTATCCCACAGTGCCTTGCTGCTGTACATGGTACCAAAGGGATTTGAGATGACTGTGTGCTGCTTATTGCCTCCCCTAGTTCCTCCTGGCTCCCTCCAGTCATTCTCTAATTGGATGAATTTTGTGTTTGCCATGTAAAAAGCTGAGGCCATGAGCACAGCTCATTGGTTAGTCAACCTCCTCGCAGCCTCATTCTCACAACTCATTCCATGTGCATTGGTCACATTTAATGAACATGGGCATCATAAGTTATTTATGATGAAAATGGGAGCAACTTTTAATTGTGCTGATCAGGGAAATTCATGAATTACACATAATTTCTTGGATGGAACGCGACGCCTCACAAAAATCTGGAAAAGATGAATGCAGGGTTCACACAGCTTGTGCAGACACTATTCGTGTGTTTGTGTGTTTGAGCACATTAATGCAGAGTAGGGCTGCAACTGATGATGATGATTTCAGTTATTGTTTAATCTACTGATTAATTTCTCATTTAATCAGTCGCCTGGATCATAAAATAGAAGATAATAGTGAAAAATGCTCGTCGCGGTTTCCTAGAACCTAGGATGATGTCTCTGATGTCAAATAATCCTGTTAGCTAAGAACACAATCATATTCAGTTTACTGTCATAAAAGAATAACACAACTGGTAAAATATTCACATTTATGCTTGATCCAGAAAATTCGATTCCCTTTTGCTAAAAATGGCTTTCCAGCATCGCAGCTCCATTACAGAAGCTGGAGATTATCCATTGTGTTTTAATGTTACAAAGCTTAAAAAACAAGATGAAAAATCCCATGATTAGACACATGATTGGTGTGTGGCAGCAAGTCAACATCTGGAGGGAACTGCCTCTCTCTCTCTTTAGCCCATTATAGAGAAATAGTTTTTTTTCCCCCTCACAGCGAAGGTCTGATGAAGGATTTAAAACTTGAGCAATGAAGGGGAACTAAAAACAAACAGAATTACAATCCTGCCAGTGAGCATCCGATGTCATTAAAAGAAATTGCTGATATATAAATATAGTTCACTCAGTTCCACAAATACTTACAATCCTAAAACCAATTCTTAACCCTCAAACAGCCCTTTGAATTTGTAAGGAGCAGTCAAACAGACATGTGCACACACACGCCCACGCACGCACACGCACACACAAACATTGTCATCAGACTCATCTGTTAACTTGAACTGGGTAAAAACAACACTTGGTCTTCATGAACACAAATCACAGTTGTGACTATTTGCATATAGAGCGGGGGAAGTGAGATCTAATCACAAGTGGTCAGAGGAGACACATTCAGGATGAATTTAAGTACCAGCGACAAGCTTAACACTGTCGACTTGTGATCAGATCTCTCAGGACAGATGTTAATACCAGTTCTGAACGGGGTCTTAGTCCAAACGATGGAAGCAATGAAGATGTATAAAAAAAGGCCCCCCCTTCAAATCTGTCAATCTGTGACCATCTGTGATTGGTTCAAGATCTACTTAAGCTGTATATAGAATAGTATTGCACCCTACTATGATTCTCTGCAGAGGTATTTTTATATATGTGAGTTGTTAAAATCAGTTTATTGCTGTGGGGAAAAAAAAAGCTTCTTAATCTTCACTCCATATGTTATTTGAATTCTGGACAGATATGGATGTAATCATAGAATTGACTGGTTGGCAGGGGCATAGAAGATTGAGTGTATAGTTCAGGCAGGAGGTTGTTTAGTGGAGGTTTATGAAAAATCTAAATGAGCTGCAAGCATGTATTTATGCTATATATGTTTATACAACATGCAAACTGTCAGAAATGGCTGCTGACGAACAAATGTGATTCTGTTAGACAATACATTTGCATTCCAACATCGCAGCGACTGAGCTGCGCAGCTGGATCCGCAGGACACAAAGCGTATACCTGACGAATCGACTAATTGTCTACACCCCCACAGCCTCATTTTCTTTCTCACTGATAATAAGTCTCGATGCTGTTTTCCTCATCCTCTTCCACAGCCTGAGGCGTCTCCTGCCACAGGCGTAGAGGGATCGCAGACCCACACAGCCCCCAGCACTGGTCGCCCTCTCAGTCCCCGGCAGCGTCGCTCCCAGCAGCACAGCCACCAGGGTCAGAGGGACAGCAGGCCGGCGTTCCCCGCGGTCCCTCGTCAGCCTCAGGATGAGAGCCACGCGGCCTCAGCCGTCCTCATTGTGGTGCTCACCCTGGCCCTGGCTGCACTCATCTTCCGCAGGATCTACCTGGCACAAGAATACAAGTTTGACTACGAGCTGTGACCACACGCAGACACACTAGGCGACCCCCACCCCCACCACCTCTTCCCCCTCCAAACCTACGGGTCAGCCCCCTCCTGCCGCCACCGCAACTGAACTTCGACCAGCTGAAGTGGAAGCAAGACCGAGGGCAGCGGCCGACACACTTAACGGCATCCGTTCCCGTCAGCGGACGGTGCAGCCAGGAACTGTCATTCCTTCAGGGGGGAACCACTCCACTTACCACAGTGTCTCCAGGGTGTCTTTTAGTCAATGTGAATCCTACTCTCCAGAGTATCATGAATTTTTAAGAATGGGAAGTTTTGTTCTTTTGTGATTGGCTCAGCAGCCACATTCACCAAATGTCTCCCTCTGTGTAACTGTCTTTCCTTGGGCTACCGCTTATTCCCTTTTATTTTATTAAAATTGTAATATGATATGCCAACAATGTAGAATTATGGGGAATCTTTGTCTCAGAGTAGTTATTTGATCATGGAAGCATCTGCACAGACAATGTACCGTAAAGTTCTTAATGTGCTTTGACTTCCTCTTCGTCACAGGGCTTTATTTCAACAGTGCAACATCCAGTCTAATGTGATATTTTAGCTCATGTGGGTGTAGCTGATGTGATACTTCAGTCTTAATTCCTCGCCGTGCAACTGGCCTCATCATTGAGCAGTAGCCAACCTGATACAGCAGCGCTGTGCAGTTCAAGAATAAAGCAGGACATGCCACTATAGTGTGTTGGAAACAAAAGGAAAGGAGGCAGTCATTGATGAGCCCTGGTGATCTGACGTGTCCTGTGTAAGTGGACGCTGTGCTGGGTTACTACTGACCAGTCTGATGTGTATGTGTGTGTGTGTGGCTGCACCTTTCACATCAGAGGCTGAAGTTTCATCAACACGCAGTCTGTGTCCTGCTGCCTTCAGACGTCGACAGGGATTTAATGAACTGAAGTATTTTCCATCCAGCATACTGCAGCTGTGATTACATACTTTAAGAATCAGACAGTTGTTAATGGATCACTGCGGACCGATTCACTAACGTTCATGAGCTACGTCATATTCTGTGACCTGGTGCAAATGTGTGACTGCAGGGCTGTTGTATCACACTTCCCACTGGCGAGGTCACATATGAGGTCACGCTTTCTGACGCAGGCCATGAGAAAATGTGACCCTGTTGTCCCCGGGATAGAAAACCTGGAAATGTAAGAGATAAAGAATATGTGAAGTTGAGATATTATCATGTTTCTCTTCCCGCTTTGAGAGAATAATAATGTTAATATCATGTAATGACACTTGTAAAAGGTGTAGCTGCATCCTTGCAACATGTCCTGCAGTCTCACATTAAAGGGTCACACCAGCGGCTTCACACATCAAAGTGTGTCTGCAGGTGTTGGGGTCGTATGGAGCAGTGTGAAGTCTGATAAATGTCATGGGATGGGCCTCAAGACTGAAAATTATTATTATTTTTCTTGGTAGTGGGTGACCATTACGAGCACGACACCTAAATCTCCAACCAAATTGTTGGTGTTCAAGTTGCATTGTGGGCAATGCAGATATGTTTTACATATATATATATATATGAATGATCTAGAGTGTGGCGGCCTGCCATATTCAGATTTTTCCTGCCACAGTTTCATAATACACTTCCATAAAGTTTTTACTGTCCACGCAGACAGACCTTTTTCAGCTTCAGCTGCAATTGTGGCGTCATTGCAGTTCTCTCGCTTAAGTCTGTGTACCTGTCACTCAGGATCAGTTGCGTGTGAGAGTGACCGCTTCGTCTGCGAAATGCACAAAGTCTTCTAACCCTCACCTGAGCCGGACACGAGGATACCGAATTCAAAAAGGAAATTTCAAGGTGTTCCAGGGAAGGTGGTCGAACTGTCTGCTCTGGTATAATAACAGCACCTGGGGTTATAATTCCCATCAGTCCTGTCAGGATGATGAGGTAACTGTTCCAGAATTGGCTACTGAAATATAGCTATTATCCCCATGGCAACGTTTACGACGAGATCATTTGAGGGGATTATTCGCACCATTAAACTGACAGGTTCAGTTCAGGTTTGACTCATCGGATCTGTAGCCTGGCTCTGCTTTCACACCTACATCAGTTTTTATTTATTTTCATTTGAATCTGGGCTTTTTTCTGCTGACACTGTAAATCCATTTGTTTATATCCCTCCTCCCTTGCTGCCTCTCTCCCCTGCTGTTTCGCAGTATTCACTCCACGTCCCTGTGCATTAATCTCATTTGACTGGCATTCTCTGAAGCTGTATGCAAACACTCATTTCCCCCTGCTTGTATAAATAGACTTGAACACTGTCTAGCGTTTACCCTCTTTGATAAACTTTGAGTAGGGTTTTTTTTTCCACTCTGATGAGAATCACAGGAACTGGGAAGCAATTTATAATTCATTCCGATGGATTTTACAGCAGCACCACACCATACAAACATCCATAGGTGGTCGTAGAAACCTACCTGTGGATTCGATACCTTGGTAGTTTTTCTTCTTTGACCTGTATATTCATGCAGGTTTTACTTGAAGGCAGCAGAGTTTCTCACAATCTCTCAGTTTCTGCCTCTTCAGTTAGGCTGGTGTACTGACATGAACAGAAAATAAATGACTCGAAAGATAAACTGTATTTGCAATGTGTGAAGTTTTATGATATCTTAATTATAGCTACAGATCTTGGATTCCCCCTATGGTTATCATAACTGTCAGTTTTAATCAAGTTTAATGGCAATGGAACTATTTGCTCACACAACTCAATCAGGATGCAAGCGGTGGACTAACAGAGCTGTGTCCCCAGAGCCATGAGGTTAACATGGCTAAAGATCTCAGGCCCATGACCCCAACACACATCAAGAAACCTCTCTCACCTTCTGCTCCGCAATGGAAAACTACTACAAAAACAAGAATTACCTAAAGCATGAGTGTGACACTCTTCTATATGAATGTCAGCAAATCCCATGAAAAGACAAAAAAATAACCCTAACCCATTGAAGAGAGTTTTATTAGCCTTCACCTGCAGAGGGGTTCCAACTACCGGCTCTGCTCAGCCGCAGCCATCTTGATCTCATCGGAGTGATGTCACAGCCACCTCCTCTTCAGTTCCCCTTGCATCTCCCAATCAGAAGCATGATACAAAAAAAAAACCCTAGAGAGTTACAGGATGTTGCCAGGAATCCTGAAAGGAGGCTGGATTTTCACAATGAAAAAGTGGTTGTGGGTTCAAAACCAGCTCGGGGCAAAAGTTTTATTTTTTCTGCTGCTGTTGCTGCTTAATATAAACTAATCAAAGTCCTCTCTCTGTGTCTTTTTGTGTCTCTCTCTTTCTTTCTGTCTGTCTCTCTGGGTCTCTCTCTCTCTCTCTATGTGTCTTTCTGTGTCTCTCTCTTTCTTTCTGTCTGTCTCTCTTGGTCTCTCTCTCTCTCTATGTGTCTTTCTGTGTCTCTCAAACTGAGAGTCTGTCTCTGGAACCGGCACCAAGCATTAGGCACACATTCAGAATTTCCCGGGAGGAATTTTCTAGTTGAAATAACTATCTAAAAAAACACGATTAACATAGTTTTGAGAGCAGGATGTTCTATTCTGTCTAATTTGAATAAACACTGAGACTTGAAATTAGCTTATGAACAATGAAGACATAACTGGAACACACTCTCAACATCTGACTTCAGTCTTGTTTTGTTTCAACGGATCAAGAATTATTTTTTTATTAATTCACAACTTTTTAAAAGTTGGAACCTTGAGTCTTCAAAATTCAAGATTGCACTTTTTTGATTGATCCCACACTTCGAACTTTGGTTTCATATCTGCTCAAAATCAACTCTGGTTTAATTAACTTTTATATCACATAAATTATTTTAATGTATTATTCCCTGAATTAATATTTCAGTCATAGCTGAGAAGACACATTCAAATTATAGATACAACATTTTTCTTTACATTGCCTTAAAAGTCGTTTCTGAGAAGTCTTTTTCCCAAGTTTAATAAAATGATCAGGCTCGACAGAAAGAAAATCACATTAGTAAAACTGTGGTTTGGTTCGTCAGCCCCAAAGCCCTATTTATTCCTTTTTTAAAAGGAGTTAAATCTTTTCATGCTGATGAAACTCTCGCTGAATGCTCAGAACTAATCTGACTGGACACAGTCGTTGAGAAAACATGATTTTTACTTGATAATACCTTTTAATCTTTTGAGATAAAAAGCACTTTGTCAAGCGGGAGGAACAGAATGTTCCTCAGCCCACACAAAGACTAAAGTCAGAGCTCCCATAAGGAGTCAGAGCTGTGTGACGCAGGTCAAAGGTCAAAACAACAAAAAGAAACATCTCATTTTGTCCGTGGGCATATAGTGAAAAGAGGATCTGTTCACTTTTGTAGGAAACCCAAGTATTATTCCTGAACAAAGTGAGTTTGAGATGGAAATACTCCACTGGCTGCTAATGCAATTTCATATCCACTGCTTTTCATACCATGCAGACTGGGAGGAGAAGACACATGTGGACATCCAAGTCCTGATGTCACTTTAAAACTATGACGCCCCGACACTGTCCCACTCTAACTACTTCTCATCCTGACAAAAAGATCTGAGTGGAGCCTTCCAATCTGTGAAATGAGAGAATCTTCCAAGTGAGATGGAAATAATTTCACTTTTTCAGCCTAATTTTGTGATGCAAATCAGTTACGTCTCGCACAGACACAAATCCTCAGAAGCACTTTAGTTTTTCACATCCTTCTCCCCGCAGCCGAACAAAAGACGGTCACGTTCTTTTTTTTCATAATCTCAGCGTGTCCCTTAATTTGGATTGTCATGACAAAAAGATTGAATGTAGCAAAAAGTGAGAAGGAAAAGAAGAGTTTGGGCGTGTTCGGTGATAGGCCTGTACCTTTTAAATACACATTTTGATCATTGATTAATTTGATCATGAAGTACTTCACCCAGCCAACATTATAAAAGAAAATGACTTTGACTTTAAAGGTCCATGTGGAGGATTGAGTGGGATCGATTATACATATCATAAGGATGTAATATACATATCTGTGTTTTCATTTGTGATTAATCACCTGAAAATAAATCAGTGTGTGACCATTATCTTGGTCTGTATGTGCAGAGGGAGCAGGTCCTCTTCCATAGGGTCCAACATGATTCTACATTAGCCCTGAATGAACAAACACCGGCACGTTTTTATATTACTTGAAGCTGTGTTGGGTTCATATGTGGGCGGCATATATGTTTTCTATCTCTCAGTGGCACACCACGTTAATGGAACGATGGAACACGGGGAGTGTGGGTAACATAACCTCGATGGACTGTGTGCCCCGGGTCTAGTTTGTGTGCTCGGCAGATTCCTGCCTCCTGAGTGGATCTCCCAGTCTAAACACCCAGGGCTTCAGAGCTGCCACTGACCTGAAGGCCACCAGGTTCCCACATGAAAGGTGAGGGCTGAAGCCAGCACTGTTCACTTTGGTGCCATCGGCAAACTAACCACTAGATGCCACTAAATCCTACACGCTGGTTCTTTAAGGTGAAATCCGGTGTATACTTTGTCTTTCTCACCCTCCACATGCCGACAGTAAATGTAGTTGGAGGAGATGCTTCAGTTGATCTTTGCGCATCCATTTGTTTATTTGATTGTTTGTTTGTTTGTTGACATTATGGTGTGTGTGTGTGTGTGTGTGTGTGTGTGTGTGTGTGTGGTCCTGATGCTGTGCGCGCCCTCTGGAGCAAACCAATCAGAAAGCTTATCGGACTTCACCACCCAATCTCTCTCTCTCTGACTCCCTCTCTCTCTCTCTCTCTCTCTGGGAAGCATGCCGACGCACTTGTTCTCACACACACACACACACACATACACACACACATACACACACAGTCCCTGGGCTCTCAGTCTCGTCCTCCTGCCTCTGAGAGGAAGATGGTACCGTGCACAGTGCGTCCTGTACGCGGAGCCAGGCCGTCACACATCCACTCGCTGCGGGAATTTTAAACTCATCATGCCGGGATACGTCAGGTTCCTGCTTCTACTTCTTTGCCTGATCCTCATCGGGGAGTGCAGGAGACACAAAAGCAGGAAAAAGCGATCGTGGTCATCGCCGGCGGAGATTCACAAGCAGGGCAAGTAAGTGATGGAGATTTTAATGTGACTGAACTCTGACCTTCAGGGATCCTCAGACATCCAACAGCAGCAGGTGGAGGAGAATGCGCTTTCTCCATCTCCTCTGGAAGAGCTGACAACTCCGTGGAACTGAGTGTGACAGCAAATTAATCAATTCAGCCCTAAAGAAAGTGAGGGAATCAGAATGGGGCAGCTGCTCGGCGGATTTCACCCCCACTTCATTTCCAAGAACGCACAGATTAGTCCGTGCGAGTCTGTGCGATCTGCGCATCATCTGTGGTCCAGATCAGTTTTCTCTGAGGCGGTGGTCACTAACACGACCACTGACACCATCACACAGCGGGCTCACTGCCGCTTGTTGGTTTCTATATGTCGGGAGAAAAACCGTGCGTAAAAACGCAGCCGGAGCGCAGGGATCGCTGTCCCTCTGTCTCCTGTGACAGCTGCGGATCAAATCCATCCCTCAGCACAGCAACAGCGTGATGTCTGTTCTTTCAGCTTCATACACAGTCCGTCATGAGGAGGCTGTGAGGGGAACAGAGTGGAGGGATATTTCCTTTTAAGCCTTTTGTATTGCTCCTATTTTAACCCGAGAGCATCAAACATCCAGCCAGCAGCAGCTTCACTCATTCTGGTATATAAAGTGTATGAACTGGTAGAAAGAGCAAAACTTGGATTTAATCTTGAAACAAACTGAAACTGAACTGAAATTAATCATCAATGATCCATCATCCCATTTGTTCCCTCCTAAATTTAGTCTCTTCTGTCCCTTAAATCTTCTGTAAGATTCATTATTGAGAAGCTGCAAGAATGTTTTATACATATTTTATTATAAATGAATGAAATGTGTCAAAAGATTGATACAAATTGTTAATTTGTAATATTTTCTGCACACTATATATGTAGTGTAATATACAATCACCTACAATTCAAATCAGGGACCATTAGAAATCAATCAAACATTTACAAATATGTTATTATGAAGTGCAAAGGAACCCCCCCCCCCCCAAAAAAACCCCCACAAGATACATTTCTCCGAGCCACTACGCAACATGGACAGGTGTTTAGCCCCCCCCCTCCTTTAAGTATAGAGATAAAACATGTCTGGTGATGTTCCATTATTTTCTTCTCCTGCAAATCTCGTGCAGAACCGAATCAGCGGCACAAATCTCCTACTAATGAGTGTTGAGTGTGTATCTAAAGCCTGATAATGTTACCTCGCTGCGTCAATGGTGCTGTTCCAAAGAACTATCATTAAAAGCACATCGCTGTTGCATTGGGTGACATGTGCTGTCATTACCGTGAAAACATACACTGAAGTGCATTTGGACTCAATCCCACATACATCATCCTGCTGTCTGAAATAGTCACCAGGGAACCAAATGTGGATTAATCCACCGCTAAAAATAGTCCCCAACTGTTGCATTATTTCCTCGTGTTTGTGTTGCATTTGTGAAGAATTATAATGACCAGTGGAAATGACTTAGTCCCTTTTTAATGAAACTATAGTGCATTTGTGGAATCCGTCTCTGCATCCACGGAAATATGTCCACATTAGAATGCTGCTCCTTTGTGATTTACACCCATTACAAAGAATCGTGTAGTGCCACTTTAGAGGTCTACTCCTTATGTAGAGAGGGGGGGAAAGCAAAACACAGCCTACATCATCCACATCATGGAGCACTGCATTATTCTGCTCTGCTCGGGTGAACATCTTCAAATCGCTGCTTTCCTAGAGATTTGACGCGTGTCAGGAAGACAGTGTGACAGGCCGATGCACAACTCACGATGCCAGTGCCTGTTTGCCTGAAGGGTGTTTATATTGCAGCATGTCCTCCCAATTTTTAATGACAAAATACAAAGCTTGTTCAGTCTTTCTAAAAGGGCACATGGAAACATTTTCTGCTTTTTCTGCCTGTATCAGCAGAAGAACACTGTCTCTCAGAGATTTCCAAAACTAAATAAATCTGTTTAACATTGTGGAAATGTATCATTAAAGGTCCAGTGTGTAAGATTTAGGTGAAAGGGATCTATTGGCTGAAATTGAATGTAGAATAATCCTCATGATGTTTTCAGTAATGTGTTTCATCTAAATTGCATGAATTGTTGATTTCTTTACCCCAGAAAAGACCCTTCATATTTAAATACTTTATATTTACATCAAGCGGGTCCTCTCTACGGAGGCCGCCATGTTTTTTACAGTTGTTCAAACTCTACAAACTAAACACCTTTTGAGTTTTTATGACAATTAAAGGCTACCACAGGTTCTCTGTCATGTTTGGAAGGGGAGGGTGAGGTGAGGGGTGTTGAACTGCAACATCCAACTTTCACCACTAGATATCACTAAATTCTACACACTGAACCTTTAAGGTTTGGTTTGGGGAAAGATCATGGTCTGGGTTCGATAGCACCCCATAGCACAAGGTTAAAATAAGTTTCTGCATCCAAATGTATTGCAAATTTTCCAAAAATATGCAAAACAGTGATTCTTAGGCTCGTTTCCATCCACTAGTGTTATATGTGAATATTAGGAGTATTTTCGTGGAAGTAATCAATAGGTGGCGCTAATGGTTTTATCTGTCGCCATTTTCCCTCTCTCCCTCCTCTCTCCTGGAGCTTGAGTGACATGTAAGTCATGTGATTTCAATACACCATCATTTATTCGCTGAATCAGTTTCTGTTGCACTTCATTCATTTTTACGTTTTATCGATAAAGTTTGCCACATCTCCCAAGCATTCAAATCTTTTTTTGCGATAGTTTAAGATTTTGTTGACTTTTCTGTGTTTCCATTCAGGGTTTTTTTTCTGAATGCAAAACTGTGAATGCTCATTAAAAAAAAAAATTGGAACAATAATGGACGAAGAGAAGCCCCCCATGTTTGGTTGATGCTGCCATTCCTCTTCGGAGTCCCACTTTGACACGCATTGATATTTGTAACACATCTGACACGCATGTGTGAATTAAGCATGTGTGTTCTCACAGTGTTGCAGTGAATGTGTTTGGAATATAACCACAATCATTTTTCTCTGATCCGTGTGTTTTAGTTGTTGAAGCTTAACTATACTTACATGGTTTGATGTATGTATTAGATGTATTCAGAGGTTTAGAATCTTCCATTATCACTGTTAATCTCTGCTGATGGAGAGAAGAAGAAAATGTTTTAGTCCTTTAATGCAATCTGCTAACAGTAATACAAAAATAGGGAATAACAGTGCTTTTCCTTTGAGGTCAAACTCTGGCGTGGCTTTAAAAACTTTCTCTCTGTCCGTCCGTCTGTCTTGTCTGTTATCAGTCCTCTGACGAAGAAGCTTTCGGATGGCACAAAAACCCGAAAGGTGAAGACCAGCCACCTCCTGCGCATAGACGACCATGATTTCACGATGAGGCCGGCCTTCGCAGGTAAGATCACTGAGCTATGTTGGTGACACACAGGGAATATTTGTCCATTGTTCTTTTGTCTTTAAATCAAAACTAGTGCAGTGTCCGTTCTATACCTCCTCAAGCATGTCTGCAATAGACTGTCACTTTTTATTGTCTGTGTGCTGGATGTTGTGAACAGAGCTTTTGATAAACAGTCTATGCTGCAGAGTGAAGCTAGAAAACTTTGTGTTCATCCTACCTGGTTTATCAGCAGTGGAGATTTTATAATGAATGTCTTTCATAAAATGAAACTGTATTTGTTTAATTACTGTTTACGTGTGGTTTATACACAATTTTGAATGATTTACTGTTCTGGTTCTAATGTTTTCAGATATTGTCGGCTATTTCAGAAGTCTGTTAAGCAATTGACACAATCTTCAGACCCAAGTTCGCAACTTTTTAAAATAAAAGCTCTGTAATTGAGCTCAATATAAAGCATGACAGCAATAAAACGAAAATCTCGCTATTATTTTGAAGACCACTTACTTCAGAGGAAGGAATTGTTCCACACCTAGTGTCTGTGTCTCAGTCTGATATGGTCACATAAAAATAATCAAATTATCCAATCCCAATGATCATGGCGGTACAGATATTATTGGAAGACCACATGTTCAATCCCCCCCCCCCCACCACCACTGCCACAGAGCGCTGGTTGTGGCCTCACTCACATCTTTATTAAAATTGAACCTATCACACCTTCAAATCGCTCCACACTCAGTACTGCACGTCCTTGGGCAACTCACAATAGACATGCCAAGTGTGAAGCCGATTAGATGAATAGCTCATGAGATATGCGTTCCACATACAGACAGACAGACGTTTGTGGAATAATAGGTATTTGTTATTTTTGACTGATATTTCACACTAGCAGACTCTGACTCTGTGTCTCCGCTCTTGATGTGCACCCTCTCTTGAACCTGAGTGTGACTGGAAAAAGAAGAGAAACTGCTTTATTTTCCCCACCTGTCTCCTTTTCCACTCCACTGCCAAATCTTTATGGAGACAAAAATAGGAGCGATGTAAAGCGTGCAGCCCCCAGGCTTAAAAAAAAAGAAAAAAAAGAAACAAACAAATAGAGAAATACTCAGCAGGTTCTATTAGAAAATAAAAATCCCCCGCTGCTGTAGAATTATGGCTCCTGATGAGTTTATTCCTCTGCCAGATGTTTTTAAAGCCATTACTCGTCAACTGTGATTGCGTGCATTTTCCTGCACTGACACCGATCAGCCGTGTTGGCAGCAGCAAAAGTCAACTTCAGGGCACTCGCCGCGTCCTTGCTTTCCACCCTGAATGTCAGGACAATGGCTCTGCCTCTGGGATTTCAGGAGGCAATTAGAAATAAGGAGCTTATTTGTTGAACGTAAGAGTTGCATTTTCTGGTGTTTAGCATAAACAGGCCCTGCATGTGTATACAAGAGGAGGCGGTGAGCTAAATGAATCCTCCCACAGGGAGTCTCGTGCTCCTCTGGGGCCACAGTTGCAGCAACATATGGGACCGAGACCCCACTGAGAATCACTTGTTTTGTGTTGAGGCTCGTCAGCAGGAGCGGCGGCAGCAGCAGATTCAAGACAAAGAAGCTAGAAGAAGAAGAAGAAGAATGGGATCGCCTCAATCAAACTTCACCAAAAGCTGACTTGTGTAAGAAGGAAAGAAGCAAGTGTGCACAGCGGCTGCCATGGATCCACCGGGGCTTCAAAAGGAGCGGCTGCAGTGTTACTAATGAAAGCCTCTTACACAGCCACTTCCTGTTTGCTGCCGGGAACAGTACGGAGAATGAGGCTCTTAGGGGGATGTCAGTGAAGACACGGAGCAAACTCCCGAGTTACAATCAGACAAATCCTCACAGCGGAGCATGTTATTGTCCAAAAGCTCACAAGACACTGCTTTGTGGTGAAACTTGATCCCGAAGAACAAAGAGCATGCATAGGGGGATGTTAATTGTCTTGTTACGATTCATTCTCTTGTACAATGCGCTTCAGTGAGCAGCAGCGGGTGCGGTTTGTATTATCAATAGTTTGCAGGTTGCCATTGGGCGGTCCCCCCCACTGTGGCACATACAGGCAGAGGAACAGCATATTTGTCATCCCACCTAGTTCTGATTTCCTTGGTACATCTATTTATGGAGCTACACCTCCCTGTCTGCCTCATGTTTGGAAAAAAAATACATTTGATGGGGTGGATGGGCCTGTCATGCATTAGTCACATTTGCATCAAAGAAGCAGCATGTTTTCACCCTTATCCCAGCCTGTGGATTCTGAAGCACGCTCTCTCAAAACGCACCCTCCGACTGGGATATCTCCAGACTTAGCAGTGTGGTGCCTAATGGACGAGCCAGCTGCATAATCTAGTCAGGGCCAACCAGCTGTGGATTTACAGCTGCTAATCCATGTAGAGAGGAGCAGTCCGGTATCACGAGGCGGAATGGATAGGGGGGGGTTTCTACTTCTATTCTCAAACACATGTGTTGGATTTACATGAGGACAGTTCGATCAGTGGAAGTGTAAATGGCAAATGGTTTGTATTTATATAGAGCTTTTCTAGTCTTGATGACCACTCAAAGCGCTTTACAGTTCAGTTACCCATTCACCCATTCACACAGTGCAACTTTTAGCAGCACTTTCTTTTTTTCTGTGAGGGGCAATTCGGGGGTTCAGCATATTGCCTGAGGACAATTTCGGCATTTAGATGGGGAAGACTGGGAATTGAACTTCCGACCTTCCTGTTAGAGGATGACCGTTCAACCCCTTCAGCCACGGCCACAGTGATTGAGGATATGAACGTCTAAGACAAAGAGCTGCTGTAACTGGAGATATGTAACTTAACTTACTTTAAAAGCTTCTGAGAAGTAATTTACCTTGATTCATATTATTATATTAAACACGAGGTCCAGGATCCCCTGCGTTGCGTGTGAGGAGGATGATGGGATGATTAATGTATCCGATACCACTTAAAATCAAATTATGCAACTTTTGAAAAGAACAAATAAGAAGTAGTATGAAACATACAAAAAAAGTACCTTTAATCGATTCAGTATGCTTAGAAGTTTTGCTGCTAAAGCCTTAAATGCTTTAGTATAAAACTGTTTTGTTTTAGAATGATTCACTTTATGGGTTGAAATTTGGCTTTGGCTTCTCCCAAATACAGCGTACATACATGAATATTAAAAATATACAAAATATACAATATAAAATACAATACTGCATCATACAAAGGTGCATTGGACAGGTAGCAGCAAGTTGTATGAATAAATGAATAAGAGATTAAATAAACCCAGGGAGCAAATCTTACCGAGCAGTAAATGTTGCTGATGCAGTTAATGTTGGTTCAGATCCTGTACGGCGCAAGGAATGAAAGACTGCATGTATCATTATATTTGTTTAATATACTGCTTATCTATCTGATGTATAATACCAACATTACTGAGTCAGTTAACTGAATTTATGGCTGGTCTCTATTTGTGCTGGATCCTACTTTGTTTCAGCCTGTCACCATTAGATTTTTTATTGCTTTTCTTTTCAAAATCAAAACAAGATGTGAACGCAGCATGACTCACCGGAACATAACTCACTCCCTCTGTGGCCACTAGAGGGCCTCCATTATCCCTTGAAATTCCCCACATTAAAATGTTATTATAGTATATTATATTATACAAAAACACAGTATTACTATGAATACAACACATTTTTAGTATAGTATTGGCCAGCTATTATTTAACTATTCTATTAACTAGCCAGATTATAATAGGCTGTAACATAATTACAACATAATCAATCCCCACTACATCTGTCAGAGTAAAATAACTGAAAAAATGGCTGTGTTAGAATAACAATAGTCAGTAGTATTGGTGGCACAGAGGAGGTGGGGATCCTGAAATCCCATTCTGTTTAGGCTTGAGCCGGCCCTGCTGCACAAACACAATACAAAAGCCGGCCTAGCCGTATAGCTTCTGCATCCAGATTTGATGCTAAGCTTAGCTGTGCTTAACACACAGACATTAGATGGATATCCATGACTGATCAGATGGACTGATGCATCAAAACCTTTTTCATTTCTAAGAGAATGTCTGCTCTTAGATTATTTCTTTCAATTAAAACCCTAACAAAAGACAGAGGTTTGTGACATTGTAAAGTAGCATGAAACATGGATCCAGTGATTTAATCAAGCTAAAACAATAAATAACATTAGTTCCAATGTAAAATCAGTGTTTCTGTGTGGGGCTGCAGTGCTGAGCTGCCCAGCTTGTTTCTCTCATAACTCAAAATCTACACAGGCAGGTTACAAGCTCATTAAAATCCCTAAAACCCTAAAAGCTATTATTTGAAAATGTGGCTTTAAAAGGGTTCAAAAGTCAATTTTGATAATTCTGGCAGACAAACACATCACTGAGGTGTGTGCAAAACCCATGGACAGGTGACCAAATGAAAAAGACACTTAACTTGATTAAATCACATTTTTCTGTGTTTGAAAATATCTGGAAATGTGTGATAACGTAAGAACGCATCTCATATGTAACACACATCTCATAGTTTTTAGACGTTTTGATGGAGAACATTTATATATTATACCTTTAATTATTCAGCCTATAATTAAAACTCTCTTAATTAAAGAAGTTTCCTCCACAGGGAGAAATTCAAGCCTGAATACACAGTGACTCAAATACTTAGCAAACAAATAAACTCATCACCAGCCGTAAAAAATCTGTTGCTGCATAAATCCCCACATAGCTGATAAAATGTTTGCTTTGGCACCTTTGTCTGTATTTTCTCCCTCATGCCTTGACAATGATTCCATCTTTAACAGTAAGGCATGACATTAAATGAAGCTGCTGGTTCAGTGGAGCACTCAGGGCGGCAGAACCGAGAAACTGTCAATATGTCTGTGCTGCAGGCGGCATGAGCCCATTAAGTGGGCAGTTATGCGTTTGAACTTTGACTTCCAGTGTTTGCTTCTCTGTGGCGTTGGCACTCGGTGTTGTGGTGTTCCTGTGTGTGGGACTGTAATGTCTGGCTGACACATTCTTCCTTCATGCCCTATTTGAAAGCAGCCCACACAAAAGAATACTGCAGGATGTGAGAGGGGCAACTAGAATTATGAAGTGGAGCATCTCCGTGACGCATCCATGGGCCTCATCTGATAATCAGTGACGTAGAATCATTCGCTGATGCTCAAAAGCTCAAAATAGCAAAAGGAAATCTTCTGGCAAAACCACACGTAGGATATTTCGTCAGTGCCCGACTGTCCCGTCTGAACACATTAACCTCGCTTTTTCAGCCTCAGTCTGCAGCCAACGTTTTGACCACCAAAGCAGAGAAAATAGGCTTCCAAACTATAATTTAGGACACTGTGATATCCCTCCTCAGCACAGACCTTTTTTCCTCTGCCATGTCCTTACAGAGAGGTTCAGCTCTGGTTGCAGCTTCCTGTGCCCCAGCTGCAGAGAGGGCACAGACATTTCAACTCCATGGACACCACTGGTCCAGACATTCTTTCTCTGAGCAGGTGTCTGGTGTTACGTCTGCTGCCTCGCTTTCAGCAGGTGCTCTGGCTTTTACCGAGTCTGGCACGTGATGTGAGGCATATGGTGTGAGAGGGATTGGGGAGGACTCTCTGCTGACAGCTGGGACTGGGCACGAATTAATATCCCCTCTTCCAGGTAGCAGCTTTGCTATGCCACAAGTTACGTAAGGCTGGCACCATTACTGCTGCGCAGATTAAAAAATACTATCACAGCCAATGTGACTTTTAATACACAAATGACAGAAGGATGTGCAGGGGTTTTTTTTTTGCAATTGATAATAAGGTTATTAGGATCCTCTTCCATATCCCCATAAATCCCAAGATGGCTTTAAATATATACTATACACATAAATAAATAAATAAACACATATCATCACACATGCAAATACTGACTTCTATTTATTACAAGTAATCATATGAAATGACTGGAGGTGCTCGTCATGGTGTAGCTTGTTATGGCTGTTATTTTGGGACTGTGATAAAGAGGATGGGCCTGTGGCAGGGATACAGATCACAGCAGTGACTGCAAATAAGTTCTTTGCAAACTTATTTATTTATTTATTAACTGTGTCAAATGGCTGTAAAGTGGATCATCTTAAGCTGTCCTACTGCAACTTTACTTTGAGTCTTGATTTTGGTTAACTTGTAACGGTATTTAGTTGCAGAAGACAGATGTTTTCAAAGTAAAAAAACACACTCCCAGCTCAGCAGCAAGAGCTTTGAACAGCCAAAGAGCCATGCATTACTCTCAGGAGCTGGTGGAGACCAAAACAGAGCTTAAAGACATCACATTGATCAGCTGGATGAAATCACACGTTCAACACACTCCATAAAATCCATCTGTGCAAAAAAATATTCTCCTCTCTCTTTTTATTTACACCAATTTCCCCATAACAGTGTTTATGCAGTCGAGGTTCATTCAATCCATCAATCAAATTTTCACAAATCACAATTTGTCTCATAGGGCTTTAACAAGGTGGGACATCTTCTGCCCTTAACCCTCTAGAGGAGCAAGGAAAAGCTACTTAAACAGAGGACAAAGAACATAGATGCCACGTGTAATGGAGAACATCAGAAAAATAGAGTAAACAGTATTTACAGCATTGGTTAGAGTAAACAGTTTGTAGCACGATGGAAGGTAAATGAATTGAGGAATTATTGTCAGTAATGGTAGAATATCTGAGTAGACATATTGTATATCCAACAGACTCAGTTCATTCGCCCCAAAAAGCCAATTTGACAACCTGACTGATTCTCCATTCCCTCTTCTTCTTTCTCTTCTTAAAGCAAAAAGAAAACCATTCTGAAATGTTTTTATCATTTCTGAACAAGTGAGGGGTAACATATTATTATTCAAATCAGTATCATTCATCCCCTGTGTAACACATTTCATTGCGATCTAATACTCAGAAAAGAGACAGCCTGTGAATACATTTGACAGAATTTCAGCAGAAGAAAAATCATGCTGTATCCAAAACCAAAAGACCTCATTCTCTGTGGAACACGAATGTGCTCATTAACGCCCGTGACACTTTCTTGACATGTCTTGTGTATAACTCAACAAGTTCGGTCTCCACCTTCCACAAGGAGCAAAGTTACCATTACACAAACAGGCATTTCTGGTCTTTTACCTCACAGCGCAAGTGAACATGTTGTTCTGCTGGTGGGGCTGGAGGAAAGGTCATCAAGCCTTTATAAAGATACATCCTCAAGGGACAATGATAAGTTAATGACCTAGACCAGACACAGTTACCTGGAGGTAGTCGGCTATTTCATAACAGCAGCTGAGTTTGTCTCGGACTTGTATTTGTGAGTAGGTTTGCCTACTCCCAACGTTCAATACCACTGCAGTGTTTGCACTTCATCTAGCTGTTAGTGTGGGTGGGTGTTGTTACATGTTTTGCTTTTTGCCACTTTAATATGGGATCATATTCGGGTCACTTATCATTTGTGCTTGTAAAATAATGATGTGGTTGCACATCACCTTTTTGCGTGAATAAAAGCTGTAGAACTATTTATTTTATTTAATTCATATTTGTGTAGGGATATTTTTAACCAAGTTTTCACAGTCTTAGGGATGGACACTCCAGTTTCCCATCTATGTATGCGACCCTGAAGTTACAGCTACAGTCCTCGAGCTACAAGTAAAATCCATGACCCTATTTTTTACTCTTGAGCTGACGAGCCAATCAGCACGATTCCCTTTGATTAACCAATCAGAATGCGGCCCACTAAACATCGCTGCTATTATATGTAACTCATTAACCAACCTGTGTCTCAGAGGAGTTCACCACAGGCTCCTTCATGTTCGACTCCATGACGAAAGGAGAATGTGCCCGAACATTTTGTCCCGATCGGACGGTGTGGACTCGTCTGATTGGACGGTCATAACACTACTTGTGAGATATTCTGGGACAATAGTTTCAATCGTCACCTGTTCATATGTTCAAACGACACACAACCAGATATTAAACCAGAGAAAAGTGAGAATGCAACTCTAATCTGTTTAACTGCTGTAAATCTGCAGGTCCTGCTGTCCCCGTCGGCGTGGATGTTCAGGTGGAGAGCTTGGACAGCATATCAGAGGTCGACATGGTAAGCAGCTTGAATGTGTTAAATGCCACATGGTACAAATGGTAAGGTTGTAGGTAAAAATGGATTACAAGAAGCTGTAATCATTCTGCAAAACATAACTTCAATCTGCTGCAGATACCGAAAACAACAGCAGCTAAAATAGATTCAGTCTGGGGGGAAATTATGGAATTACATGGATTATTCTGTCTCTCTAACTAAGAATTCAATCAGGTTTTAAAGCAAAGGCCAACAGAAACTGAAAATGAGGAGATTATGGTAAAAGTAAAAGCATAATTTCATTATTAAAACTACTCCTCCAGTGGATTATGGTACTGGTGGAAGAATTAACTCTAGTAAGTCTGTGTTATATTCATTTTACATTGCCTCTACAACACTTTAGCACCAGAGTGAACAAAACTCAGAAATGTAACTTTTTAAATTGGATACACCAGAGGCCAAACAGAGTTTAATTAATAAAAGTAATAAAAAGCAAAGGCCTATATTGGCTCTGCCATTGGCATTTGAGGGCTGATTTTAGTTATAGTCATTAAAATGCTTTCAGTTGGATAATCAGAGTTAGATTACGAAGGCTCAATGGCAGTAACTGTTTATTTTTGCTCAAAGTCAGAATAAATTAATGTTGAGTAATGTAATTAAATCACCCCTCTGTTCAGGAACCATAAGTTAGATCCAAAACCGTCATCCTGATGTTGTGTAAGCTCCTGTTTGCAGGGACGACCACGGATTACATTCCAATTGGATCCCAGGATTGTGTCTTTATTTGCTTTGGAACAAAAATGATTTCCAGAGGACGGGTGCCCTTAATGACATTATGTCATTTAAACAAGCTCCAGGAAGCTTAACAATTACACAGCAAACGATATTTTTTGCGAAAAATTTGATTTTAAACGATACAATTACACTTATTCTATGTTTTTCTTGAAGTCAACTAATTATATAGAGAGAGCAAAAACAACATGGTAGTCCACCTCTGTACTCTCAGATTTTCCTGTCTGAGCTTCATCGTGTTGGGGCAGTAGGGGA